AAAGCGTCAAAATCACAAAAGCTAGAAGGAGTCGCCACTGGGGAACTATCTTTTTATTTAGCTATCAGACATGAAGAAAGGTCATCAAAATTGATGTAAATACAAACTGGAGTATAAAATCAGAAAGTACTTCGACACTGTCCATCAAAAGCAAGTCAAACATGGGGATTCTTTAATGAGGAAGTCCATGCCTACGAAGGAAGGGCATAGGCACTATGCTACAGATTAAAATGGCTCACTGGACTTTTCTAAAGAGGTATATAGGCAAGACACCCAAAAATAGCATCCCAGGGCCCCCCTCTTTCCGGATCTGTGTTCTGAAGCCCACAGCTGGCCTTGGCAAAGGTCCTTCCACAAGCTGACTTGGCCTTAGTTCTTTGAGCTTAAAGCTCAGTTCCCTACAAAGCTGAGCCCCACTTCACAAAACCCAAGTTCCAATAGTTGTGGTGCCCAAAATCACTGTGACACCTCTTATGTGGCTCGGCAGATCCCACAAAGAGTGGGTGAAGGCAAGACCCCTTGCCCATCAGCAATTTGGATGTATTGTAACACGACAGAGACGTAAGCATAGGCAGGCTACTCTCAGTGTGGCAGTGACTTTTGCTTCTCATATATCAAAAATAATTTGGGTATTTAAAATGGAGATACCTAGTAAACTCAATCAATCTGTATTTGCAGAACTGCCTTTCTTGTGTTGTTTGTTTAAACAGACAGTTACAAAGTTACGAAGATAGCATAGGGAGTTGCCTTATGCCCTCCATTCACGTTCTTGGATGTTAATGTCACACTACTATGACAGCACCCTGTCAGAACTAAGGAATCAACACTAGCACATTACTTTTAACTAAATTGCACATTTATTCACCTTTCCCCTTTTCTCTAATGTCCATTCTTCTGCTCCAGGATCCCTGTTCAACTGCACGTAGTCATCCACGTCTCTTACGCCTTTTACAGTCCATAGGTTCCTCAGACTTCCCTGGTTTCTAATGACTTCAACACTTTTGCAGAATGTTAGTCAGGCATTTGGTAGAATGTCCTCCCTGGAGGACAAAACCGTTGTTTCATGTTTTCCCTGTGATTAGAATAAGGTTATAGGTTTGGGGAAGGAAGACTACTGTTTGGATCTTACATGTCCCTCAAAGACCGATAAGCTTTAGCTTGGTCACTGGCCAAAGTCTCCTCAGAAGGTGGTGGAACCTTTTGGGGTGGGGCCTAGTGAAAGGAAGTTAAGTCACTGGGCCCTAGCCCTGCCCTTCCTCTTTCCCTCTGCTTTGCAGCTGCCACTACACACTCCCTCCATGATGTACACAGGTCCGAAGCAATGGGGCGGGGTAAACACAGACTGAAACCTCTTCCTTTCAAGTTGATTTATCTCAAGTTAACTTACTAGCTATTTGTCACAGAGACAGACATTAAACTAACACAACCACAGAGGAGAACAGCCAAGTTCATGACATCGCATTAAAGGTATCAGCTATCAACTTCCCATCCCTGATGACGTTAGCTTTGATAGGCAGATAGTGTTTGCCAGGTTTTTCCACTATAAACTTCCTTCTCAACCCCTTTCTACACTCCACTTCTGCAGGCAACTCATTAAGTACAGCCACCCAGGAATAAGAATTATGCTCAAAGGAGGAATGTACACATAAATTACTCGGAATTCTTCTCTATGGGAAGTTTGCCTCTCATTTATTTACTCATTCGTTTATATCTCCATGGGCTGACAGATACTTGTTTTGTTACTTTGAGTGACATTATTTATTTCATTGGTCCAATTGTCCCAGTTCGGCTGATGGGAGCAATTTCAGGATAGCTCTCACGTTCTTCATTTTGTGTTTTGAACACTGACTTACCTTTCTGCTTCTCCATGTTTTTGCCAGCAAAATGCCTGACTTTAATAAGGGGTTGGAGACTACTAAGTATTGAATTTTGTCTCCCTAAAATTCCTATGTCAAAGTTCCAGTCCCTGGTACCTCAGAATGTGACTTTACTTGAGAATTGGGTCATTGGAGAAGTTAAAATGAGGTCTCACTGGAATAAAGTGGGCCCCTAATTCAATATGACCAGTGTCTTTCTAAGAAAGAAAAGTTTAGAGAGAGCATACAGAGAAAATGCCATGTGAGGACAGAGGCAGCCATCAGAGTGAAGCTTCTAGAAGTTTCTAGAAGCCAAGGAGTGCCAAAGATTGCCAGCCAGCCACCAGCTGCCAGGGAGAGGCATGGAATAGACTCTCCCCACAGCCTCAGGAGGGACCAGCCCTGCTGACCCCTTGACCTCAGACTTCTAGCTTCCAGAACCACAAGGCAATACATTCTTATTATTTTAAGCCAGTCCACCGTGGTACTTTGTTATGGCCGCTCAAGGAAACTAACACAAGGGCCAATGTCACTAAGCTCTCCGTATTTCAATTAAAAACTACTCATAAATTTGGTATTAAAAAAACAAAGAAAGTAGGTGTGGAGGAGTATCTTAAAAACCATCTGAAAGGGCATATTGGAAAACAGAGGCATGAGTCTATGTATTGCACTATTTAGGGTTGTGCATGGACGTGAACAAGGTCGGGGCAGTGTTTGCAATGCCACATTTTCCCGGCAGTTTCTAGCCACCTGCAGCTCCATTCAGCATTACTGCCAAGCACACCTGCAAGCACTAGCAATAGCCACCCGTCTAGTGTAATCGCCACCTCCTTCATCATGCTAAGTGCCAGCACACTGAAACCAACCATTTCTCAGGTGCCCTTCACAGTGATGCCACAAGGGGCTGGCAGGTGCTTCCCTGCACCACTGTGGACCCAGCCAGATCACGTCAGTTCAGCATTTTTTTTTTGGTCCCTGTTTAATGACTCACCTTGTTCTACTTCCATCTTGCCAGAGTCACAGCAACAAGTGGCCCAGTGCCTTAAAATGAGCTGAACATGGAAACCACAGAAATATCATACAGTCATCCACTATTTAGTAGCTTTAGGACAAGTTCACACACTAGAGGATCCTGAAGCAAACTCTAGGCTTTCAGACCAAGGCATGACAGTCACCAGGAAGGAAAAAGCGAGGTGCTTACATCTGTCATCTTACTCAGTATCCAATGACCTTGACGGAGGTGAAATCTACAAGGTGAGGAAACATCCCCCCCTCAGTCAACTGGGAGAAAAGGAATAAAGCGGGATCTGCAGTATTCACCTGAAAATTATTTTCACTATAAAAGCTCCAGTTCATGTGCATTTTTATGCCTATATTAAAAAAATCAAATGAAGTCATTAGGCTAAGGCCAGTTCAGAACACCTCTTGCCTGAGTATTCATTCTTCTTGCAATCCCCTGAGCTCTGCTATAATCTTTGGGGTCACATTTGGCAACAAAATATTAGCCTAAATGAACCAATGATATAACCCAGTGAATAACATTTATGTTCTTAACTTGCAAGAATCAAGGCTATGAAATACTTCCAAGATATCAACTGGACAAGCAAGTGCCATATATTCCAGAAGCTCTGGAGGAGTAAAACAACAAATAAACATGAGGATTTGGGAACTATTTCAATGATTAGTGTGTGTCTCTCAAAACCCTTTGCATTAACAAGCCTCCACTCCAATCCTGGTTCTCTTCCATTTGGGGAATGGCCACAGTCACAAGGAAAAAACCAAGCACATGGCTCTGTCTTTCTGGACATTTCTACAATGTCAGCTGGACTGCTTTGGAAAATCCCATTTTATCTCCTACAGTTATATGACCTCAAGTTGTCATTTCAAATAAAGTATGCTTCCATTGATTTTTATGAACACAGACAAAAGCTGTTACAACCATTTTTTGTTTCAAAGCTTGCAAACCAACTGTAGTTACTATGTAGGGTTATTTGTTTCTAAGGCAACAGCGTATATCTAAGTACTAATGGCCTGTCCTTTTGCCAGGCAACAAACAGCCTTGTGATGCAACTGCACCTGTCTCGGCTACGCGTTACTATGGAGATGCTCCAGTTGCTATGGCTACCATCACGCTAATCGCCTAGCAAAGGCAGACATACAGCAGTCTTCTCAGAAAGCCCAGCTGTTCCTCCCCGTCTTATGCTGAAGACTGATTGTCTGGGGCCTATGATGGAATGCTTCTGAATGAGATGCCCGGGAACTTCATTAATGCCATTTCAGAGGTCACTCTGCATTCCCTCCTACAGAACACACGTCAGACTAGGAACAGAATCCGCAAGAAGGAGACTAGAAAACTCCTGAAATCTTTGACAACAGGACATCCCCAATTAACATCAACTTGTACTCCAAGGATAATTTCTCTTAATTGGGTAGTTACAATAGAAAAATTTCTGTATGTCTTAAAAGTTTTGTAAGGTGCCGGATATGGTTCAAATCCAAGCACCACATAGAGAGAAAAATTCCTTTCAAAATCCAGTCCTGTGTTATATGACTCTTTCTTGGAATCTAACATCAACACACTTTCTTAACAAGTAACAAGCTATTGAACCCTTCACTCCAAATTTACACAACGAGGAGGGCAAAGGTCGCCATTGTTCTCTGTTGTTTTTGAAGAGGCAAACATTGAGTAACCACAACAAAACCATCACTCAGGAGCCGTCCACATGGCGACAGAAATGACAACAACTGAGTGAGCTTTCTCTCAACATCTGTAGACACTGGCCAGGCTATGGGAAGACAGGATTGCTTGCCTGACTCACTTCTGTCTGTATTTCCCAACAAAACATGACATCCAGGGTTATGAAAGCTGTCAACTTTTCTTTGTAAATGTTTCTACCAAGAAGACATCATTCTACCCTCCATGAAGCCTTTTGGAAACGCATTCCTCCAAAGCAGCAGAAGCGGTAAGGAAGGGGGGGATACAACAATGAAAACGCCTCCTAAGAATACACAATTTCTTTCCATTTCTTCTGCAGTTATTTTTAAAATTTCATACAACCTATTAAATTAGTTTCAGCACCTGTCTCTGCCAAAAAATGCAATTGCAGTGCACCAAAAAAAAAAAAAAAAGTATGAATTGCTTACCTTTGATATGCCTGAGGAGTGGGAGGTGGGTGGTAAGGTGTCTTTTTCAAAGCCTGAATTAGATTTTGTCTGTACTCTGGGTCTATGCACCACAACGACCCTTTCCCAATACTCTGCAAAGGAAATGAAGATACAAAAGAGTTAAACAAAAGTAGCAAGTATTTTGCAGTAAGTTGATATATAACTGCAACCATAGTTATTTTTAAAAGCTTCTCATTTGTTGACTGTGTGCCAGACTTAAGTATTGTACTCTGACAGTAGCTCACCATAAAATACCCATCATTCTATCCTGTTAAATTCTGATAGACCACATGAACACGTCATTATCAGATTATGCTGATAGGATAATCTTCATATCCAAGTATCCCAAAGATGAGAATCCTCTATTATTTTTCAGTGTCAAATTTGAAGAAGACATTTGTGCTCCTATAAAAATCTTTAATTTTGTCAAATTTCCAATGCTGAAGGAATAAGAAGGCTCAGATACCCTCAAAATTCTATCTCTGCTCAAAACATTACAGTTACATTTTTAAACCACATTACATTGGCACCACTTTACAAAAAGGGAACAGTAATCCACTCTTTTCCCCCACCACACAACTTGCTCACAAAAGCAAGTTTTCTGTTTGGAATGGAATTCTGTAATTATGGTCCCCAAGAAACAAAAGATCTCAGGCCACAATGGTAAACCTAAGCCAGAATCCACTATTTACTCTTTGAATTCCTTAGTTCACAGCACGGTGTTCCAGCCAGTTAGAGTTGAATCTTTAGAAGTCAAACTTTAAAATGCAAATTTTCTAAAGCGGTTCCACAGGAGGTGAGAAGCTTCCTCTGAGGCCCACTTTTGGGCTGGTTGGAGGCCTTTGGTCTGTGGTCAGCATATTTTTAAAGAAGCCTGAACTTCCTCTGAGGCCCACTGGAGCTGGCAGCAGGCCTAAGGCAGTTGCTTGCTCTCTGCATGCTTTTAAGTGACCAAATGTACCCAAACTCTTTGATAAGGTCATCTGTAAATATTTACCGATTTGGAAAGAAAAGAAGTTAAATTACCTAAACCCACACCCACTCCTTGCTTTTAGCTACAGCTCTTTATTTTCAAATCATTGTACTCCAAGGAAGACATGTTTGTCTTCCAACATTTAGAAAGCAAACACAAAACAGTTCAACTAACAGAGGGAGGGAAAAGTCCAAGAAAATCCCACTGAAGGAGCACGGAACCTCAGTTACTCCTAAACTCTTGAAAGAACTCTAAAATAGCTTTCTTACAAACTTAATTTACTCACAGCGCCCATGAACAGTAACAGCAGAAAGTGGGCAACCAGAATGAACTGCTTCTGGTGTCGTGGGAACGGGGAAGGGGAGAGGATGACACAAAACTGTGGTCAGAGGCTGCACCTGGGGCCACCTCAGTCACCTAGCCCCAAGTGCAAATCTTAGTCAGGTGGCGGGGTCTCCAGTACACATCACTGTGCTCAGCTTAACCAGTTAGAAGTTTAAAGACCTGAAAAACTTCAACTCTGGAAAATTCAGGGTTCCATGTGGCCTTCCCTTTCCTGAACACATTGTCAAGTCTGAGATAGTTCAGGAACTCTGATGAGACTTTCTAGCAGACAGACGTGCTGATCCTCAACCTTCTCCTGGGGAAAAGGTATGGAGCAAAGAAGACAGCCAGCCAACAGGTAAGGAATGGAGAGGTACAGGGGAGGGCAGGAAGAAACAGGAACTACCAAATTTGGCTACTACCATCAACCAAAGCCTGACCCCATCATCAAGGTTCCCCATAGGGCCCCAGGCCAAAGGACCTGCCTTCTGGTCCCCACACAAGCCAGATCTAGGCTACTCAGAGGGCCATAGCAGACACACAACCCAAACTTTTCCATCAATTTGATATGCTCTCAGGTGCTGAGAGCATACTGGCTTTTGATTTCACCTCGGTGCTTTCAGAACGGGTGGTTTGTCTTACATCAAAAACCCAGGACAAAGCATTGAAGGCCAACTGGTCTTCTCAGGTAAATAAGCATAAGCCAAGAATGCGGTTTCTTCTAAACCTGATTCAAGTATCTTATTTACTCTGTAGACTACTGTTTAAAAACTCAAAGGAATAAACCTCAAATCTGTGCAAGACATTCACACGCTAAGGACTCCAGGTGCAGAGAGGCAGGCTGAGAAACAGTTAGGAAGTGGTCTGGAGCCACCCAGCTATTCCCATGTAGCCATGGACAAACTGCCATGCCACACAAAGTCTTGGCTTCCTGGTTTATTTCACTTATGAAACAGACACAGGTGCAAGGCCCAGAGACAATGTGGTAGGAAGCACCCAGCACAGAGGCCGTACCTCAATAAATGGCAGGTGGCATCATGAATGTCTCCTATGTGACAGAAGAAAGACATTGTTTCATGGCATCAAATCTGATGTACTTCCAGTTCCAACAGTGGCCATAGGAAGGGCTTCTGGCAAACTGAAGACCACCAGAAGTGAGAATAAAATGGCTGTCTGCTCTCTCACGCTGGCGGTCTTAGCTGAGCAATTGTCTGATGAGCTTCTCAACCTTCTAAGACTTCTCCCATAACTTTAATTTCGTCACTGTCTCCTATGCACCCCACATCAGGCACTGGCTACTTCTCCCTTGCTCTGGAAGCCAGCATCCCCGACTGATAACACAGCTTCTAGAATTTTCCTTGTGCCCAGGTCTTAACACTGTGATCACAGAGCTGAGGTTTCCAAATCTGGTTGGTACATGTGGCCACTCCCAGTACTCATTCATTGGAGACATGTGCTCAGGTTTTGGATCATAAGAAATGGTTCCCACCTTGATCTGTTCAGAGGGGTATGGAGTTGCTGGTATTTTTTTTACTGACCAGACAGACTTAGATTTCAATATATCTGATACTTAGAATTGCTGGCATTCCAAAGAGAAAAAAACAAACAGAAGGTTTCTTGGGGATGCACCCATGGGGACCCTAGGAATGCCTCCATGATCTTCCAGAGGCTTGCCCTGGGGGAAGTGGGGAGCGGAGGGGGGGGCGGGAAGGAGGTTGGCAGTGTACGTCCTTCTTAAGCCTTCTCCTCCTCCTCAGTTTCATGTGACAGTTTGGAATAATAACAAGGTTTACTTGAAAACTTTTAAAATGGAAATGTGCAGAACACTGGGTGCTCAAGTTTCTATGGCCAGGAAAAATTACACTGAATCCTTCCCTTGCAGGGAAGAGAAGGGATGTAATTTGATTACAGTTGTGTAATAAGTCTGAGAGTCAGAGCTTTTATGGAAATAGCTACATCTCATCTGAAGGCAAAAATGTGTTGTCTTTTTTTTTTTGTAAATTGAAATAACTGTGAGGGCCATGTGCCATGAAGTGTTAAGGAATTTGAAATAATAAAAGAAAACTTCATTTATAGATGCATTTTCATGATATGCACACACATATATTGTATGTATATGTTTTATTAGATGTATCTATATGTAAATATTTTACAAAAATATAAAATTCACACCCCCAGAGAAAACTTCAGAAACAGTGTGGGAATATGAATAGCAAGATAAGAATGAGGTCAAGTTTTTATAGGTTCTTTTTTTTTTAAATTAAGAAGTACCAAGGAATAGTAAACAACTGTCAATAATTTAAAAAAACCCAAAAACTGATAACAAAGGTAAAACAAGAAAAGCCTATATTGTAGGCATAAGTGATTAGTCTAAAGACGTAAGTGATTAGTTGCTAAAGAATAGCAACAATGAAATTAAAATTAACATCTAAAGGTATATGTATTTTTCCTCTGGAGAGGTCTCAATCCAGTGACCACCTCTGCAGACTTGCTCCTCTGTTGCACTTAGCAGGTGGGCCTCCCATCTGTCTTCATGTTGGTGTCCCTTCCAGAGGAAAAGTGACGTATTTTAAACACTATTGTTCAAACTATGGGCCATAATGCACCTGTGGGTATGAAATCAAGGTAATAAGTCACTAGTGTTGTTTGAAGGGAACACAACACAACAATAGAAGAGTCTGGGCAAATATCCGTAGTGATGCATGTGAAGTTTCTATGTATGTGGACATGGAAGTGCCCTTGACGGACCACAAAGTAACATGCACTTCTTGCTGGGAAGCTGACTCTACAACATTTGGCAAACTTGGTCTAGGACAATGGCAGGCAGGGATGTTTCTTTTGTCACCACTTGTAGGGATAAAGTCCTCTTCTAGCAGTCATGAAGGACATACTCTGTGGTGCCAGGGCCTGTGCGTGGGGATGGAGCCAATGGGCAGGTCCCTACTCAATGGAGCTAGGTGTGCATTCTCACTGAACTTGAAACCATATCTCTTGATGTTTCTCATTTTCCATTTCTGAGGACATTTCCAACAGTGTCTACCCTCATTCATTGGCTCATTCATCCCTGTGGTACCTGCTACACGCCCATCGCCACGGAGGATAGGACCGTGAATAAAGTCAATACAAAAAGGTGACTGCTTTCACGAAGCTTGGATTCTAAACGGGAAAGAAGGCAGTGAGCAGATAAGGAAAAAAATAAACTAGATCATGACAGACAGTGCTATCTGCCAGGGAGGAAACACAGTGATAAGTGAGCAAAGAGAAAGTTGCTGCTGTGCACAGAATCAACAGCGTGGAAGTGGCCAGGGTCCTACAGGGATGTGGTCCAGCAGCCAGGCCTGAGATGACCACAGGGCGTTGGCTCAGGTGAGGGCAGAGGAAGCAGAGGAAGGAGGGCAGCTTCAGGACACATTTTGGAAAGCCAGTTGGACCTGGTAATGGATTGGAACTGACAGGGAAGGAAAAAAAGATAAAGAAAGGTTTTGTGTGAGTAACTAACTAGGTGGAAGATTAGAGAAGGGGAAACCCAGTGCTCTGTTGAACAGATAACTTTTGAGACTGTCCATCTATTAGTCTACTGATTAAGATGTTTGAAAAACTCACCTGTCTTCCCTCTGCTATGTCCTCACTGACCCCAACCTTTGTAGCAAAGGCCCATGAACATGAAAAGTAGACCTCAGGTGGTCTGGCTTTCAAGGTTTAATATCAACCGGTTCCTCTATAACAGGGGTTGGTAAACTTTTTCTTAAAAAGCCAGAGGGAATATTTTTGTCTTTGAGGTCCTCCAGTATCTGT